TTTTTTCTTTGTCAAAACAATAACTTGATAACTTAAATTGATAATTTTTTCGACCAATTATATTTAGTATTTGTGTTTACACATAAGATACACAACCTTTAATTCGGGCCTCCAATTAAAACAAAAAAAAAAGAAGAAAATTCTGCTTCCTTTATCCGATTCTAGTAACATATAAAATGAAGCCTAGCCTAGGAATGATCGCAACCATTCCATAATGCTGTTTTCGTCATTGTTGCAATCGTCACACATTGGCCATGCACGTTCTTTCGGTGAAAGCAAACCTAACATAACAGTGACTCCATTGAATTCTACAGCAATTGACTGGTGGAAAAATGCACAAAAGCAATAAGCTTCCTCTGTCGTGCTAATAAACAGTTTGTAGTACAATTTTCTTTAGAAAAAGCAAAAGAAAGAGATTCCAAAGTTGCCTTGGATAAATTTTGTTCGTGTGTGAACCTGATAGGTTGCTTACTACAAAGGAAATGTGCAGGAATTATCAAGATTGAAGGAAATTAAACCAAGCTTATTTCATTTATTTGTTTAGTTTATTAGATTTAAGTAATTACATGGTAGAGTATTAGTCAGTTTTCTATAAGTATTAGTTGAGTTTGAAGTTTGTTTCTTTTTCATAGTAGATTAGGAAGTGTCAAATCAGTTTTCAAGTAAGTTTTGGTGTGTAATTATCTTTGTTTAGGAAGTTTTGTAATCTATAAATATTATTAGTATAGTAGATTGTCATTGGAAGGGAGAGTTGAGTTGAGTTGATTTGAGTTTTCAAAAGTGGGTCTGAAAGAAAAATTCTAAGTTAAGATTAATTTATAAGTTGTCGTGAGTGAAAGATTAAGATTTAATATTCTTATTCTTGAGTTTTGAATTAATAAAATTGTCCAGTTTATATGTGTTAAAATTGCATTCATTGTATGTGCTCTTTTTTTTTTTTTTTTTTTGGGCGCTATCAAAGAGTAGTTTTATGGTTTGATAAAATCAAAAAGTTTAGGATATGAATGGTTGCTGTTGATGGTCATTAGGATCGCTCATGGTCCCGATTCAGTCAATAACAACTGATATTATTGTTTGTGACTGATTGAGATACGTTGCTTGTGCAATTCTCATCCTTCAATGTACAATGATTCTCTTGAGATGTACGTCGATTCTTAACTGTTGAGAAGCATTTGACAGGAATGTTGAAAAATCTTCACCAGCCAAAGTGTTCAATTGTGGGAAACAATAGTAACAACAGTTCTTTTGGCCTCAGTTCTGTTCATATCCTATAAATAGGAGTCATTACCTTGTGGAAACTTCCCATTTTACGCACAACCAATCTCTCATAGCACTGCTAATCAGAAAAAACAAGCCATGTATGCTTATAATAGATTTCCCTCCAGTAGCATAACCTACAACGCCTCCACTTCCAAATACTCAGTCACCTGCGACGGAAAAACCATTGAGACAACTCTCACTGATAAAGCTGCCATAGCTGATGAATGGGTTAGGGAAATCCTTTCCCTGTATGCTAACAAACCTACTGTCGTTGGTTTAGACAGCGAATGGAGGCCCCATCCTATTCGCTCAATGAGCAACAAATCAGCTACTTTGCAGCTTTGCATCAACGACAAGTGCCTAATTCTTCAACTTTTTTATATGGACGAAATCCCACAATCCCTCAAGAATTTGCTTGCGGACTCCAACTTTACCTATGTGGGGATTGAGGTGGCTGATGACATAGCCAAGCTTAAGAATGAGTATGGGCTGGAGTGCAGCAGCAGTGCTGACATTAGGGCTCTGGCGATGCGCCGGTGGCCGGGAAGATTTCGCCGGCCTGGGCTGAAGGATCTTGCATCGGATGTGGTGGGGCTTTACATGAAGAAGCCAAAGCATGTTTGCATGAGTAACTGGGAAGCGAGGGTTCTCAATGAGAACCAAGTTGAGTATGCATGCATTGATGCTTATGCTTCTTACAAAATTGGGCATAAGCTGATCATGGAAAACTAGTTGTTTGGCCTAGGCCTTTGGTTTGGGGCTGGCAAGAAGTCTAGAAGCATATTATGTAATGTGGGTACTTTATGCAGCAAGTGGTTTATGATATGATGTAGCAATGCTGGCGTTTTTAATTCCTTTTTTTTTTTAGCAAAGTAATTTGCTTATCTTGTCATCAGAGGAAATTCTAAATATTTAAGTTATATCAATGTTGTGTGGAAAGATTGTGTTTAAATTGTTTGGCCAGGGATTTTTTTTTTTTTTATCTATCACAATAGCTTTCAGAAAAAAAAAAAAAATTATAGTACCACAATGCTCCGAGAACCATCAAATCCTAATTTTTCTGCCAAACAGGCTGGCTGATATTACTACGAAAAACTGTCCAAAATTTCCCCAGAAACTAGACATGGGGGCATTGCAGTTTGCCTTTACTACAGTGGATAGCTTTATTAGGTAGTACATTGTAACAACTATTAGCACTAATCCTATCATTCGTGGGTTTAGCTGCAGCCTTATGAATAGTAATTTGACAGCGTTTCATTATTAATCTCACAATACTGTTGATTAGTTGTATTGTTATGAAAGAAAAGATTAACAATTGATAATGACTATGTATTTGAGTTATTTACTTTCACAGCTTTGTATTTTTAGACTTCACAGAGTACGGTCCGTGTTTTAATTTGTCTCAGTTGTCCACTATCACTATGAGAGTACTAATGCCCCTGTGTTCATGATTCCTCCCTTTTGTGCGTGTTAGACTTAACTGGTTTTGATGAAAAAAACGCCATCACTCTTGACCCAAATAAATCTTGTATCCCTCCATGTTGCCTACTGCGTTCCCAACATTTGGTGAATAATTTGGTGTCAATAAATTGTGAGGATTTTGAGTAAGAAACTAAGGAAAGGATAATGGGAGAGAGTGGTATTAAGAAGTGAAAGAATGGAGATGAGCCAATGTAATTGTGCTTTGAGGATAATTTAACAAAAAAAAAAAAAAATTTGTTCTAAGTTGAGGTCCTGAGGATAATGCAGGAATTATATCTAACTCATTAAAGATCCATCGTACAAACAGACTGAGGTCTATCAGTATTTTGATGTTGAAGGAGTGCAAATTTTCCTAAAATTTGTCCTTTTCAATCCAAATTAATCACAAACAACCAATTTACGAAATGTGCTGAATTGACAAAGTCAATTTAACATCTGTTATTTACCCAAAAGGGCATGCATGTACAGTTGCTAGTTGCTCTTGACTTGCTACAAGAAAACTGAATTGAGAATCTTGAAGGCCTCGATTGGTCTTCAGTTCATTTGACCGGTGCATGCAATGTTTTCTCCCCCACCTCGAGGGCTCTGAATAAGAATTACCCGCCAAAGGATTGAATGGAGAGTTCCAATCGCCAGAATTTTAAACGCGAAAGGCTCAGAACTTTGAACAAATCATACCTTTTAAGTTCATGATAAATATGCAGAACTTATAACTCAGAGATATGCAATGCATCGCATGTCGCTCCCTTTGTAAACAAAGAACATGCATGAATATACCAACGTTATGCATCTTGATCGAGTTAATAAGATACAGCACATATGATCATACTCGATCGCACAAATTTTCAATTAATGTGGTGATTCTCTTACCTTTGGATTCACTCTAAATGCAAAAATTCAAAGATGAAATGCATGAACTTGGCCTTGCTGCTGCAAGTTTAGGCGGCCCGAGGTTCATCCTGAAGCATTTCTGTATTTCTATTTCTCATCTCTTCTTTAAAGACAATAAACGCTGATTTCACTTACAAAAAAAACACTTTAAAATTCTGACATTTTAAATAGTAAGCAAAAATATGGTGTCTCTAAAATCAAGAAAATAATCATCTTTTAATTTATTTCGATTTCTTAATTCCTATTGTCCCTTAGTACAGAAACTTTCATAAACTCTTTTTGTATTCTTCAAAATTTAAAGCATATGAAAAAAAGCGAGTACAAATCGAAATAATTACTAGGACAGATCCAGACTTCCAATCTTTCCATCAATCATCAGACTTCAACGTTCGTATGATGCAACAAGGGTGAATGCATCAATCAATGACAACAAAATCGAATCACATATCATATTCGATGGACCAAATCATATGCATGCATGCACAATAGCCAGTTACATATGAGACTTTAAAGAAACTTTAACTGATTTTTTTTTTTTGGGAGCCGAGGACCTGAAGGGTGAAAAGCCAATAATCTCTGAAGTCTAGCGGCTGATTGCTGCAGCATTAAAGGATAAGATGACTATATGTATATATTGACATGAATAGCCTACATTTAGCATATAGTAGTGTATTACTTAGGCAAGAAAAAGAATTTTTATAGCCTTCATTTAGCTCTACCATTGAACCTCGTATCTCCTGTGGGGGTCCAATTTTTATGAAGTAATGATAAGAATTTGTTAAGTCGTGATCACTAAAATCTTTAGTGAAATGTTCTTAGGATGTGTAAATTGGCTACTGCAAAGTAAATTACGTACTATGGCATGCAATGCAATATATGACTGAAAGAAAAAAAAAGAAAAAAAGGGACGTGCAATATATGATGGAAATTTGAAACATCGTTAGTATTTAATACTCCTCGTATGGAGATTAAGCATGCATTAGCCTTGGGAGTCTTGTGACTTGAGACCGAGCTGTATCCACGAAGACGACTTTGATACTTTCCAAAATGAAGGATCTTCCTCTTGAAAAGCGTTCATGGTCTTGGGATTGAGCAGTGAATCCGACTTTCAAATTTCAGATTACTTGGGAAGAGAAATCAGTTATCATTCGTGTTCCTCAAGGAGTGTTATTACAGTCATCAATAGCAGTGATATGTATACCGAGATTAATATCTACAACTACCAACGTAACCAACAGATCCACAACTTCACCTTGTTTGATGCCCTCTCGCTAGAAATACATAAACTTGGACAGCGTTAACCAGAGGGTTCATTTTTACTAGGAACAAATAATCAAAGAATGATTCCACTTCGATTCAAGTCCAAAATGGGTGTCCACAACATAAAATTGTACGGCTTTCCTGTGACGGCGACAGTTGTGGACGACTGTTCTCTAGCTGACAGTGGTATAATCCAGTTAATGAATCAGCTGTGCGAGTTGAAAATTGTTGGAATTGATGTGAAGGGAACCGAACTATCGGCAGAACCACAGCTACTGCTGATTTACGTGAAAGATCGTTGCTTGATCATTCAACTTGGACGTATGTCTTCTTATCCTTCCCAACTTGCATCTTTCCTGGGTGATACGAATATATGTTTTGTGGGAGCGAACATGAATAGGAAGGCTGATGTCCTGAAAAAATCTTGGATTCCCCTTGTATGGAAAGGTTCGCCGATGATGCACAGAGTCGAAGTTGGTGAATTGGCGGCCAGAGTTCTCAAGAATGCAGACCTTGAAAAGTGCGATAATCTGGAAGAGTTGGCAAAGAAGAGTGGATTTGATTTTAAAGAAGCAGATGAGAAGAAGCGTCCTACTCCTAACTGGGCTGCCGTATGCTTGTCGGAGGAAGAAGTCAAGTGTGCCATGCGTGAAGTTTTCATAAGCTACAACGTGGCAAGTAAGCTGCTCAGCCAGCTCTAGAGTAGAGAGTCTTGGAGATGTGATTTTGGTGTCTTTTTTCCCCTTTTTTTTTGACTTCTTTATCATGACTATTCCTTTTGGCTTTTGCATTAGATGGATCATGGATCATGGTTGTAACAGGTCTTTATTTTCTTGTCTTCGTGTCACCTATTATATATCCAGGGAATTTGACCAATTTTTTTCTTCACATTCTTAAACTAATTAACTGGCACCTTGCTCAATCTACATGAATGATGAATCGCTCTTCGTGAAGTACATATGTTAGTTACATCACATAAAAAAAAGGGAAAAAACAGCAAAAAAATTAATCCTTACCCCAGAACCTAAACTTCCTTCCTCCAATTTCAATGGTTCAAGGACTCGGTCGAGACCGAGACGACTCGGCCGAGTCGTCACTTGAACGGGGCTTCCCGATCCGATACCGGGACGAGATGATTCCAAAATAATGAATAGCCGAGAACTCGAGCGAGACGTCTCCGCAACGAATAGAAACGGTTGAGTCGTCTCGAGTCATCTCGAGTCATCCGGATGCCTAATAGCATTCAGTAGCTTAGTAAGCAGTGTGATTTCAGTTTCAGAGTGAGACTTTCTTCGGCCAAACCGCCTGCACAGGATTAATTTCACTTTTAAGCCATAAGTGAAGCTATATGCATTCCCAATTTTGACTTCCCTGAACATCCCAAGTGATTTTAAATAAAAATTTTGGTCCATGAAAGAAATATTGCTGCGTGATGGATCTTCCTCTGTAACTGTTCCGTAGTAGTTTTTCTGATTAATGGAAGAGATATTCTACGTAAAAAATAAAGAAGTTTTCCTTATGCAAGTGATATTTTCATATCAATTCTCTTCATTAAATCATTTTATAATAAACACAAATAATAGCTTATGACATGAATTATTAGAGTATATACGCAAATAGGGTGATTTGTACCACAAATCCCAAGTGATATATGATATGAACTTGAATAGTCCCTAAGTACATTCAACACAACAAAATCAACCACGTCCAATGTACTGAAGTTGAGTAGTCGAGAGTTATCCAGATATACATGCACACTTGTAAGTTCTGACATCTATATATGCAGAATGCGGTATAGGGTTCAATTGCCAGCCTTCACGTAGCATTAAGAAAAAAGGGACAAGAAAATGGATATTCCGTTGAAATTCAGGGAAAAAATGGGTGTATATGACCTCGAAATGAATGGAGTTGGCGTTAAGGTAACAGTTGTGGATAACGAAGCTCTCGTCGAAAGTGGTATATCTGAATTGAAGGCTCAGCTGGGAGATTTGCCTCTGGTTGTATTTCTGGATCCCTCGATCGCTGTTTACAGATTTTCATATCAATTCCAACCAGAGGCAAATCTCCCAGCTGAGCCTTCAATTCAGATATACCACTTTCGACGAGAGCTTCGTTATCCACAACTGTTACCTTAACGCCAACTCCATTCATTTCGAGGTCATATACACCCATTTTTTCCCTGAATTTCAACGGAATATCCATTTTCTTGTCCCTTTGTATGCCAACGAGCGTTGCTTGATCGTTCAATTGGCACTGATGAACTCCTTCCCGAATACACTCGGGACTTTCTTAAGTGACAAAAGAATTTGTTTCGTGGGCTGGCAAATTCAATCCAAATATGATGCGTTAGCAAAGGCTCTAAAGCGCTTGAATAACATGAATGCTGCTTATGAAGATTGCGTGACGAGAAGTGGATTCAAAATCAGTGATCTGGCTGCCACAGTTCTCAAAAATCCAGCACTTCAGAAGTGTGGTAGCTTGGAGAAGTTGGCGAGTAAGATTGGATTTAATATTGTAGAAGAAGCAAACCCGGATAGGATTGAGTGTCCCGAATGGAATGCCCTGTGTTTTTCCGAAGAAGAGGTGAAGTTTGCCATGTATGATGCTTATAATTGCTACCACATGGGCAAGAAGCTGCCGAGCATGCTCTAGAGACTCTTGGACTTGTTGATTCTTCGACTGTGTATCATCTGAACATGGTTCAGTTACTGTTACAAAAAATTGTCGATATCAAGTAGTAGATGTTGTTTGTTGGGCAATCTATATGTTGTTGATGGAGAAGTTATTGATTCAAGAGTTAATTTGAAGAACTGTTCTTTCTTCATGCAACTCCTATATTAGCTAGTAATCTTTGTTATTATGCGCACGGATTAGTTCTACTAAACTGATTAATTTGCCCAGAACTATTATGACTACAGTTATGAGTTTCACTCATTTTGTACTCTATGCAAATGTGGGAGCAAATTTGAATGGCGAAACATCTTGGATCATTATGATAAGGATAAATGAGAATTATAATCACAAATCTATCATAACTATGAGGGTTCTTCTCTTAGGGACCCTTAGATCATTGATGTCTTTATGACGGCGAATTCTTCAGAAAAATTTGTGTCTAGGCCAGAAAATAAAAGGTGAATCTAGTCGTACTTTTTTTTGCAAGTATAAATTCTTCATCTTAGAGTGGTAATTTCAGAGCTTTTTCAAAGAAAATTTTCCCATAAATGAAATTAGAGTTATTAGAATAGACCTTATCATTCTTCCTTTTCCCTTTTCCTTGAAAACTTTTTTAGTCCATATTAGAATTCAAGCATTCTACATCCTAACCAAGGTAACTTAGAGAAAAATAGATTAAATCAGGTGCTTAGCAGCCACAGACTTTCCACAGAACTCAGAAGAGCCTCCTATTCCTTTATCTCCACAATGCATATATCGTTTCCGCGAAGACACATTTAATTTAGTGTCTGATGCATATGCTGAATGCCTGAATCCACCATTGGAGCTCCTCAGCCCATCCACAAACTCCCATCTACAAGAGGTGAAATTTCTGAATTCCTCGCCAAACATAAGCAGAGTAGTCAGGAGTGGAAAAACAGGTGCTTTACCGAACCATTTTCTCTAGCAAACGAGGAGCACCATTCACCAATTTTTTTCAGTAACTCTCCATTTCGTCAATCTATCTTTTGTAGCCAACCTATTTCCAATTCTACGTACCAGCCAAACTATAGATGCTTATCTTGTGCCTTTGGACAGGAAATAGGAAAAGCCTAAAGATGATAGTGGCTTTATCTTTCCTTTTGGATGGCTATCATATATCTTAGGCGTTTGTCTTTGTTTCATAGATAATGGATCATGATCATGATCATCCACAAGTTCAAGAGTCATACTAACCATTTGAATCTGTCTTTGCTAACTATTGAGACCATACTCCAAAAAGTAGTTTAACTATACTGAATATCATTGAACAGTCAAAATTAATTTGATTCAGTAAAGCTAGGAACTAAACGTTACTTCAATTACCAAAATAACTGAATTATAGTTTATCAAAAAGAAAAATTAAAATTTGCATTCATCTTACATTGTTGCATGCTGACTTCTCATTTCTTAGTCATGCATCTAGGAAACTTAAAGGGTGTCTTGGAATCTTAAATTGAACAAAGTGCAACAGGCAAACTCAAATTCACTTAAATCCATCTTACACTTAAAACTCTCTCGGACTGCTGTAATACGACACTTGACACACTTAAATTCACCTAAGTTCATTGTATTTATAATCACTAAGGGAGAGACTTCTTTGTAAAACTTTCGAAAGACAAACTCATCAGAGGAGGTAGCTAGCTAGCTAGTACCTAATGGGCTTTCTTTCATTTTGGATTAGGATTGTTTACGTGTATTATCATTCTAAATTGGTGTATGAAAGCTGTTTATGAATAATCAAGCTTAGGCATAAGGGCTAGGCATGGCCCAAAATGTTGTTCCTTAACAGAAACGAAACTAATCAATATATTGTTAAGATGATTATGGGCCTTCCAGCCATGGTATGTAAGTCCTTAATACAATCAATAATATCTATTTTTTGAATTTTTTTTTTTTGTATAAGTGTGTTATTTTGAATTAAGAACATCCCACTCACAACATGTTCTATCTTATCACTCAACTCAATCAATTAATAAATTAAGACTTAAAAATATTTTTATGCAGCAGACATAGCAATACAAGTGGATCACCCCTTTCATTCCACTTCCAATTTCTATATTAATACGGGGTCGGACTTCTTCTTTTTCTGACGGCAACAAAAAAAATCTTCATCGTATGAGATTTTTTCAAAGTGTTTTATTGTTAGCTATAGTCATGATTTTCTCAATCAATCTGTCTATTCAGCAATTAAACAGCAATTCGATCTATCAATATGTATGGTCTTGGATCATTAATAATGATTTTTCTTTAGAATTCGACATTATGTATGATCTTGGATCTTTAGAATTAATAATGATTGGTTAAGGATAGGATGGTGCATTTCTCCATTGTATTTGGCATCAGTTACTTAATTTTTCAATTGCACAAAATTAATGGGGTTGTTAATGGTCAATAAGTTCCCTAGGTCATTTGGCACGCCAAATACTAGTTGTTCGATTGAGGGATTTGGACCTAATCATAGAGAAATATTGCCTAAGAGCAGTGCTGGATTTGTGCATTAATTAATTCCCATCTAATATTCTTTGTTTATATTCTCATCCATCCCTTGAATGCCAAGTAGAGCTGGCTATCCTGTCTTTGTCGAATTTCTTGTGCCATTTGTCTTGGCATATTCGTAGAAATTGGTTATATATAGCCTGTCTTATAGACCGCCTCCCCCATTTTGCAGTCACTTTAATAATAAGTATCAATTATCATATGTTCGTTGGCCAATGGAATTACAAATTTTTTGCTATCTCAAAAAAAAAAAAAAAAAAGTGCAATCAAATTGGCGCTAGTTAGTTTGTAAATCAAAGATAATCTAAATTCTAGCTCCTTTTAGTCAAAAGATGAACCTTGATTTTAACACAAAAATAAATAGTACTAACAATAACCAAGACAAAAAGACTCTTCCAACTATATCCAATCTAGTTCTCTGCCAAATGTGGTGGCGTTTTTGTCTTATAACGCTGCTGCATGAATGGCAAGAGAGATGGGGAAGGCATTTTGTACATTCATAAAATCCCAG